CATGTCAATAGCATCACTTTATCTCCTTCATTTTTGTTTGAAATAGAAAAGTACTTTAGCGTTCAAACTCATTAGTCCAAGGCAATATCAAAAAGTACCTAATAACTACGGCGATAGAGTTTAATTACTTGTGCTTCGATATTAAAATTAAAAAGTTTAAATATAAAAAAAAAATAGTTGCTTGGGATTTGAACCGCCGAACTTACGTACCAACGGCGGCGAACGGTAAGGCCACGAGACCAAACTAGCATATATGATGACAAACTTAAATTTGATGTTGGTTTTATCTACCTAATATCTGTCATCCGCGTCGAACACTTTTAGTAAATTTTGAAAAATGGTTTGATGCAAAGTGTCAAATGAATGTAACAGAAGTAGTTTATTCCAAATTGTATCACAAGTATATAGAGATAGAGTTCAATTTTGTCAAATGTACCGATATTTTTGCGCACCTTGACTGCTTCGTTACTTATGACGCTGTGGCTGCTACGATATTTATGAGCATCTTGCATGTACTCATATATTTGACGCTGTGTATGTACCGATGTATTTGAGGAGGGTGAATGTATCTATTATTTTGAGGACTTTTGTTGTACCGATATAATTGATTACTTTTGATGTACCTATATATTTGCATATCTTGTCTGTGACGATCTATATGACGCTGACTGTACATAACGCACATAAAGTGTTTATTTCTCTCTATGTTTCTGAAAAAAGTATAATTTCAACAAGTGACGAAAGAACTGGCACGTTGCATCTAAAAAAAAGAATTAATTTTCTTTGACATGTACAAAAGTCTATCATACTTCTGTACCTAAATCTTAAAATTTTAAATAAAAAGACGGAGGTGATCATATTCAATCATGTGGTATCAGATGATCCCGTCCTACCTTCTAATTGCTGGAACCACTTCAATAGGCGGATTTGGGCTATGGTGGATCCATTACTTTGTTATCGGTAATGTATGTATTAGTCGCAGCATAAAAAATATTATTAGACTGTTGTTAGTATGTAAAAGCATAATGAGTCAATGAGCTCACTCAATTATGAGTACGGAAAACATAAAGGAAGGTTAAATAAAGGTGCAAGTGGTAAACGCCAACTATATGTGTTGTACGAATAGGCCGGCTTGCACTGTGCAAAACAGGCGTGAAATGGAGGCAATCCTGCGTTTCGTCAGATTAGTGTGGTACCGAAAGCCTAATTTTAGTATTCTTTCCCTTTCCACCCTTACAAGGATAGGATGGGGAGAGAAATTGGATTTGACGGAGAGGCAGACACTTTTTATTACATATTTTTTATTCAAATACATAAATAAGGTGCTTTTATCAAAAAGTAATCCATGCACACCTATTTTCCCTACATGTAAAAAACTAATGGTAACCAAGTCAAAATGTTGAAGTTGCCTTGGACCTGGCAACATTATATTAAAAATGTCAACTTCTAGTATTGCTGTCTGTCAAAAAGCAGACAGAACCTGTACAAAGAATCTAAAAAAAACTTTTAATATTGAAGATTTGTATTTAATTGAAAATAATGTGGTACCAAATATTGCCAGGTTATTGCTTAATTGCCGTGTGCTTAGGCTTACCTGGGTGGGGACTCTACCACCTGCATAATGTGGTTTTAGGAAACGTAAGTTACTAAAATTATTTGTGTATGTTAGGTAACACTTCACAGTTATAACCTAATGCATTTAACACTTTCAATAGTTTTCAATAATTATATTTGTATAGTTATATATAAAATAGAAATTTGTCTAGTAATATTGAATTTGACCAAGTGTCATGTTTATTTGTCATTCCTATGATCAGTTGCTATTGTTAAATGAAAAGAAATAAATAACTGGTGAAACACCTCACTCGTTAAAATATTCACAGTTCTTTAAGCTTCTAGAGGTGTCAATGGAATTGACAAACAAAAATCAATATACAAAAACAAACATAATATGGAAACATGCATAATAAACTTGAAAAACTCTCCTGAGTTAGTCTAATAAAAACACAGAAAACCTAATACTTAATTATGTGTTATAGCACTACAGGCGTTCAATGCTTGACCGTTGGGACCGCATGCTGTACCAGAGAGACACACGACTCACTGGCGATGGTTATAAAATTCTTGTAAGTTGAAGTGTAGCATTTTATATTTAGCTTTTAAGTAAATTCAATTTTAGTTAGTAAGCATTGAACAGCACTGATAGCACAGAAGTATTTGCACTTTTAAGGCATTTACAGTTTCAGTAAAAGAGGTTAAGTACAGTTTGTACCAAGCCTAAATTACAGATACTATATATAGTTTACCTCCTATAAGATCTAAGGCTATCTAAGATATTACTGGATGGTATGATGGTTAATCTTTCATTGATATCCTTTTATCTTTTGGTAGGTTATTTGTTGCATAGGTTTAGCCAGTTCAACGGGCCCACAGTTGGCCTATCACAATTAGTTGCAATCAGCAATTTTGGTGTACTTTATGTTGCACAAACTTTTGTGCAAATTTTGTTGATAATGATATGTTGGCACCTGCCACAAATGTTCATCTCAGTCCCACAGATGTTATAGCAAACACTGTATATTTGCTAATAGTTGAAAATAGTACTAAATACTTTTTCACATATGTATTTATAATTAACAAAATGTATGTGCTGAGAAAGAATGATGTTGAAGGCAGAGGATGGCATACTGTGGAAAGCATTTGGGAAGGCCTATGTCCAGCTGTTGATGTGTACTTTTTTGTTTTCTGTTTCTTTCACTATTTCTTTTTTTCAGGGGCTGGAGAATATTCCAGACAAATGAACATAAATACATAGGTTGTTTGTAGTCTTGCTGTGTTTAATTAATAAAATACATATGTTTTGTAGTTTATTCAGTTAATTGTTTTATTTAATAATGAATGTAATACATAATTAAGTTTTAATGTGTTTTATTAATGGGTTGCTAAGCTGAACACTATTTGTTCATTCTGCCGAGTCACCTTTGATGTAATTTAAACTAAAAAAATAATCTTAGTCTATGGTCTTTATACATCCGTCACTGTCATCAGACGGGCTGTCAGTGAATTGCTAATCGTTATTAAAAGTAATAACATTATAATTATAGCGAAAACCAAAGAGTATATAAAATACTACTAAACTAACTAAAAAACTATTGACACCAAGGATCCATATACAAAATACGAAGTACATTTGGTCTATACTTTTTTAATTTACATAGTAAACTATGTTTTACACGTCGAATTGCTATCTATAAAATATTTGAGTAGGTAATTTGTAATCATTTATAGTTATAATTAGTTCGACTCCAAAGTATCATTATGGACAATTGTTTTATTGACATCACTGTAGAATTTTTAGCTGTAGCATTTCACAACATTTTATACTATGGTTCTGTTTATCCTGGAAACGTTTTTGATACGAGAAGAAAATATAGCGTTGTCGTGTATCGCTGCAGACATCCAGAAGTAAATCATTATATTAATTCATGTTTAAAAAGCGTAGAAGAATGTTTGAAATGTGGTACGTTGAGACGTCTTGAATTTGCAGTGACTAATGATGAATATAATCCAATAGTGAAGTTTGTATTTGATTTTGATAAGAATTCAGTACATGAAGAAAATTCTGACGCCTATTTAGTGCAAGTTGAACAAAATTTACGAGCTTTTTGCCTAAATCTTAACACAATAATTGGCAAATTTCAAAACAACATTGAAAACAAAAGCTTTACTATTTTCCTACACACTAACGAGTCATCAGCAGTCTCTATGAGTATCAATCCTGATTTACAAGAGTTTCCTTATGTTGAAGTTGAAGATAAAACAGAAGATTGTGAAAGAATCTTACCATTGAGAAGATTTGAATTAAGAGGTTATAGTATAGACACCTATGTTGAAATAAAGTAGAAATATAAATTTGATATGATTTAATGGCCATTCAAAATGTTACTTTTAAATTAATAAATTGTAGCAAATATATGTCACACTGGATAGATTAGAATACCTTGAAATGCATGCATATTTTATAGTGAAGAAAACACTGTTTTATTATCCGGTGTAAGTCACTAATTGTGGGTTACTGAGACTGGAATCCTGGACTGGTGGGATAAGATTTTGGTCTCTGAAACCAGTGATATCTGTTTAAATACTGTAGATGTAATGTTTTCAATAATTAAATAACAATAGTGTTTTTTATCAATAATAATCTCTTTTTTCCAATTTCACTTTCAAAGCTCTCAAGCGGGAGTAAACTTCATCCCAGTCAACATAAGCTCCTATTAGTTTCCTGATGTTGTTGGCGCGGTCTTCGTATTGGTTTCGGCCGTGCAGCAGACGGATGTTGTCAAATACGAGAATGCTGCCAGTATCCACCTTGAACTTTGCACTAAACTTACGATTTAGCTCTAAGAACAGGCTGTGAGCCTCATACCACGGCCTGACTAGCTCTATCGGGCCAGGGAAATGGCTGCCCCTTTGTGGTATCGAAAAGTTAATCCTCGTCACATTCTCAAGCTTATCGACGCATATAACGGGCGATCTATAAAGTTTGTAAAACTCATTCCCATTTTCTACTCCAATGTCACTCCATTCAATTTCCGTGTCGGCCAGTATCCTGTATTGATTGGGATGATGTTCTTTCATGTAGTTAGCGACATAATGGCAGTCCGACAGAGTATTTTCCCCTCCATCTGATTTCGTCTGCACCAGACAATGGAGTAAGTTAACTCCGGGACAGTAGCCATAGTAAGGTAGGTCGGTATGCATCTGTAAATTGCTAGACAAATAGGCGACGTTGCTCGTGTTTGCGACGTTTTGCACTATGAATTTGACACCATAGTGCGTTTGTTTAGGGAAACCGATTCGTTGCACTATAGCTTCGATTGCGGTTTCGTCGTTCGGTGTGTTTTTAATCAGACTTACCCCGTACGTGGATAAATCACTTAGCCATTTATACAACGCTTTATCGTTTGATATTATTTCGCTATAGTCATTGGTGCTGCAGATTTTTTGAAAATCATCACCTTTCCAGGTGACTTTCGGTGGCTTGTACAACTCCGTGTCGTATTGCTGTTGATTTTTCTTCGTGAAGCTTCGGAACTTCAGCCAGTCGAGGCGGTACTGCGATGTATGGCCGTCGTCCCATGTTACTCTCACAAAATTCTCGTCTTTATGAACTTGCGTTGCTTTAGAATTAAGGTCAAATTTGGTCCAATCGAGGATCCGGCTTTTCGCCGTTGAATGAAAGCACTGGTGGCACTGGCAGTTGTCTCTCAGCCACACGTGTGGAAATGTTAATGTTTCTCCGTTAATTTCGAGTGTGATTGCGTGTTGCGATTCGATGCTGTGATAGCTGGATCCGTTTCTAAATGATAAACTGTTTGTGTTTAACAATTCACGTTTTAGTCTGTGTAGCGCGGTGTTACGTAGCCTCTTTATCAGCAACATGTTGGTTGCGCTCCGCGAGCCGTTGAACTGCTCTCCGCAGAGATAAAGACACAACATTCATTTGTATATATAATCTAGTTATGACGCAATTGGGTAATACAGAGAACTAGTCGTCGCGCGCGACTTAAAAAAAACTTAATTAGTGGTCTACATGTTCCTCAATCTATGTAAAATTTTAGCAACATCTATTTAGTTGTTTTAGAGATTCATTTAAACGTTCGTACTTATAACAGTTTTATTTTAATTGATTATTATAAATTTTCTAAAGAAATATGAGATAGGGATAACACTTAGAATTTTTTAATTGAATGTTATTTGGCATAGGTTAAGTAAAAGGGATTAATTATTCACAAATAACATTTTATTGTGCTTAATATTAATGATAATCTTAAGACAAAAATTATACAAAAAATATATAATGTTCACAGGATCCTTAAGTATAAAGCAAGCAAGTAAAGCGAGCAATGCAAATTTCGATTTTTAAACAAAAGACTAGATTTGTTTAGTATTTTGAATATAAGTTACTAATTACTTTATACGTTTCGATATTTTTGGTTTCTTTTGTTCCATTAAAAAATGAGTTTTGTTCAATAGAGAGAATATGCAAAAGAGTATCAAAAATGAGAGGTACATATTTGTCACGACATGTGATGACCTCGATGAGGTGCTCGGGGCGAGCGAGCCGGTGTGTCGGTGTGCCAGGTCGGTGTGCCAGCGTGTCAGCGCGAGCGGTGCAGGCGCACGGTGACGCGGTGGTAGGCGTTGCTGAGGATGCCGCGGATGTTCCAGATGTGGTCGAACCTCTCCGGCTGCGTGTTGAAGTTGCCGTCCGTCGCCTTCACCCACAACTCCGCCTGCATGTACACTCGTTTGTACATCGGTCGCAGTATACGTAACCGTAACGTATCATGGATGGGTATGGGATGGGCGATACGATTACGAGTACCTGTGCGGCGTGGTCGGGCACGGGCAGGTGCACGGTCCACAGCGTCCAGGCGTAGTGTTCGCGGTGCGGCGCCGCGTCCTGCTGCAGGCGCGCCTCCGTCCAGCTGCGCCCGCCGTCCGCGCTCACGTCCACGCGCACGACGCGCGCCCCGCCCCCGGAGTACGCGTACCCTGCGCGCGCGAACCTTCAGCCTCAAAGTTCCTTCAGAGTAAAGCTAGCGGAGGAGCGGTTTGCCGAAGTTCCCTCACCGCTGGCCTCGATGTGTCCGTCGCGCACGGGCACGGCGTCTCCGTGACGCGGCGCGCAGATGGCGGAGGTGACGGGCAGGCTGTACACGGGCGGCGCGCGCTCGAACTCCGCGCTCTCCCACGTCGTGGACGGGTTGAAGGCGCGGTAGTCCTTCTTGTGCCAGTGCGACGAGCTCTCCTCCGAAGATACCGTTATGCATTCTGACAATTTAACGGTCGACTGCTCGGATCCGGCTCGAAGGATCGAATTTAGAATTTGGCATTTTTATCAAAAAGATCTCGGTTGGTCTATTTAAAACTTTGTTAAGTCAAAGAAAAATAGGGGGAAACCGTAAACTATTTTGATTTGTAGCCATCAGGAGCATATAAAATACTCTAACGCTAAAAGGAGATTAAATGGGAAAGCAATAAGCGGTACCGAGCCACTTGACGCTCCTGACGGCGGGCGCGCCGGGCACGATGGCGCGCAGCGGGCGGCCGTGGTCGGGCGGCAGCGGCTCCCCGTTCATGTGCGTGGCCAGCAGCACCCTCGCCCCCGCATCCAGCGCCGTCGCCAGCGGGATCGACGTGCTGAACTTCTGCCCCGTCGCGTCTATGTCCGCGCCCGTCAGCTGCACAACACACAAACACAAACATTACACTTTCTTAACAAACACCACACTTGATACTATATTCTTTAAATATTCAACTGACGATGACGTGCTTGCCCTCCGTGTCGTCAGGGTCCACGCCGCAGCTCAGCAGCACGTCGCGCAGGTACACTCCGCTCCATACGGCGTTGCTGAAATGTTACCTCGCAATCAAACTCTCCGTGAAAGTTTATTTTTAAAGATGAATGATAAAGTAGATAAATTACGACCTACCTTATAGCTCCGCCCGCCCAACTGATTCCTTTTACCGGTTTCACCTGCTTAAGAAATGAAAAGATTTATGAAAGTGAATGGTGCGTAGGTATAGGTAAGTGAGGTGAGGTGAGGTGAGGTGAGGTTTACGTGGTGCATCTCGCTGCGCCTGTTGCCGGCGCACATGAGCGCGGCGCGCAGGGTGGCGGCGGGCAGGCGCTGCAGCTGGTGCAGGCTGAGCTCGCGCGTGGCCCCCGTCTCCTCCACCACCACGCGCACGCGATGGCTGCCCGCCTCCAGCTCTGGAACAGGCATGTGCTGCCGCACGTAAAACAACTCGCTGCAAACAAAATAAACCAACACTGTATATATCTACTCGAGCAGCACTGTAATGAATAAAGTTCATGACGTACTTGGGCGTGTCGAAGTGCGCGATCTGGTACTCTGGAGGTATCTCTGCGTTGAAGGGCTTCGCGGTCTTGACGATGAGGCGCGGATCTCGATAGGGCTCCGTGGCCCACAGCTCGTCGTCGCTGTGGTCGACCAGGTCGTCGTCGTGCAGGTTTCCTGAAACAAAAGCGATATTTATTCTGACCAGGCTCCATATGGACAGGGCCATCATAATCCTATCCTATCTGTTACATAAATATTCATTATTGCAGGAGAATAATCTGTCACTTACCTATTCTATATGATTCAAGCAAATCATATACTTCTCGAGTTTTGTGCATTCCATATACATTCCAAAAAGGTTCAATGCTCAGTCCCGCTGCATTGTAGATTTGTTCTCCTCCGGGGTGAGAGGGCAGGAATGATGTGACATCGTACACACCATGTCTGTATGTCACCCAGAAGCTATTCCTGTGCAATACGAGTGACATGTGTTATATATCTGAAGTAACAGAACATTGACTAGATTCATGACAATTATTTAATATTTGAAAGCTTTTTACTAACACATTCAGAGTGATGTTTTTTTTTATGAAAGTGTTGTTGGTTGCATCAAGTTTATCACGGTAGTAAATTTTTTGGAATAATAACTAACTTTGTGTTATGTTTGCTGATTTCCTCGGCACTGTAAGTTGGTAGATTGGGTTTCTTCTCTCCAGCTTCTATTATTTTATTTTCATCAGTCTTTTCTTGTTTGTTCTTTTTCAATTTGTCTCTACTGACATCTGAAACAAATTAAAAATATTTAGTAAACCAAATGTGACTTATGTTTAGACTATAAAATGAAGTCCTTTACAAACTACCTGAGGATGTAGAGCCCACTAAAACAGATGCAAATATAGCAGCTCCTATATTCCAATTAAAATTCTTGTACTTGTCATCAAAGCCCTTATATTTTTCATAATTATAGTGATGTGATACAGCTGGCAGGTAGCAAAATTTATCTCTTAGTTGCAGTGACCTGTAATTAATAATAAGTTTTTATAAAGTAAATTTTTAACAATAGTAGAGCCCGCTTTGACATCTTCGCACAAATTGGCCGGTGTGCCCAGTGCTATACCATTACCATACATGAGACAGGCATCAGGTGGAAGAAATTCCACATTTTGTATGGTGTTTACATATAGCTGGTATTACCCAGGAGCCTTTAATCCTCTTTCCTTTTGTACCCTTTTTTTTATAAGTAAAGGATGGGAAGTGGAAGTGGATTTAGTAGATGAGGGATGCATGGGATAAGGAAATATTTTCTTTCTGTTTATCTTCTCCATCATAGATTAAAGGTATGCAACATCACTGCAATTGCGGATGACTGGGCAATGGTCGCTGCGCTATTTCAGTGTTTTCAGGTGGTCGCCCACTGGCTTGCCCGCTTATGATATAAAAAGAAGAAAAATAATAATAGTATTGAAGCAATATAAATATACAAATTTGAATAATGGTATTACAGCAATATAAATCCTTATATTTTAGTAAAAAGGAAGGTTAACTCTAAACTAAGAGTCAAAGAAAAGAAGCATTACTAAAATAACAAAGCTGTGTTCTACTTTTATTAAAAACTTATTTTTTTTAATAATGAATAGTTAATTTTCGTCACAAACTTAATCACTTGAGACAAATACAAAAATAAAATAAAATTATGTAATAAATAATACCAACTCTAATTCATTATTTCTTAATATAATTTTATAACTTTCACTTACCTGATTATTAATTTTCTAAGAGACATTACGATAAGGATAAATTTTTATCCACTTTTCGTGTATTCACGTTTCGTGCTACAAAATTATATTGATTTAAGAAGTGTAATCTAATTAATTGACCTTGATAGAGTATTTGCGATATCCATGTTATCGGTTTGCACAATAATAAACATCGCAATTGCGAGCGAAAAGTAAATAGTGTCAGACTGTCACTGTCACTGTCACAGTTTAGATTTTAATGTTGCTTTATAAAAATTGCTTTATGGGTTTGGTTTAAGGATATTAAAATGGATTAATTTTTAAAATAATCACAGATAAGTTATGCTTATAAAATGTCCACGAATATTTTAATAATCTTTTATCACGTTATAAAGTAAGGAGATATTCAATCTGCTCTCGGTTCTTTTAATCGACGAGACATCATTTTATTAATCACTCAGGCCACGGCACCATAAAGCCCGTTTAATCGTACCCCTGAACAAATTAATAGAAACAGTTCTTTGTACCCAAAAGAATAATTAGCTTGGAAAAACTGAAAACATGTTCAAGTAATTTAAGTTCAAATAGCAATAATAATGTTTCTGAAGATTTTTTACGTTTGCAAATGTTTTTAATAAGACAGCACCATCATAATAAATTAAACGCGTTATATGCATTAGGACGTAAGAAAGTAAGGAAATGTGCAACTCTTTAGTTCACTAATGAGTTTTTAAAGACCCCATACATTAGTCCCTTGAGTGTTGTAGTTGCATTTTTAGTTTTATTGTTTTGTTATAACGTTTATTTAATAAACTAATTACTTATTACTTTGGTCTGTTAGTAAAACGAAAAAACTTATCTTAGGTTAAAATCGAACTAGGTCTGAACTATTGATTTTTGAATAAAACAGCATAAAACATATGCTACTGGGGATGGTTAGGATGATACGCAGACTCGTATTCCTTCACAATCTTCAACATATTTAAGCGAGCGTAAGATATTTCTATTAACTTTAATGACGACAACTAAATTACAAGAATGTAATTACTTGAGCCTGTACAGGCGTTTCATTTCGAACCTTTGTAGCTAATAATAAAAAAAACGTTCTTTTCGCCAGCGAACCCATTAAGTCGGCAATGGCTGTCATAAAAGAAAAATTAAGCCCGCCATAAAATTTCACTCTAAATGTTAGCGAAATGAAAATATAATAATTTCGGTTCACTGGATTCGGTATGATTTATTTCTAACAACTAAGTGTTTACTGTTATAAGGTATTTAAAAAAAATACACATCTAATAGTTTTCGTTCTGACTACTCGTCTAGGATACTGTACTGTGTACTGATAATGATCGTTCTTTTATAAGATTACTAGTACTCGATCCACACTAACTACTACACACGTACTACATTAGTAGATCGTCAGTGAAATATATTTTTTTCAACAAACTTCCAGAAATATGAATAAAGGAATTGATTTGCCTACTTGAATATACTCAAAAAGTTTTAAGAGTCTTTACATATTTTGGTAAGTTACGATTGGAAGGCTAACAAACGCAACGCAACGAATTTGTACTCTTTTCAAGACTTGCGAGGACTTTAGTAAAGTTTTGTCACGACTTTCGTGTAGTTCATTTATTAGCTCGTATAGAACAAGAATGGATGTCTCTGATTTGATTTTTGCTTTCGGTAAATAATAGGTAGAGCCTCGTAAGGTAGTAGGTTAGGCACGTAATAGCTTTAATTGGTCAAAAATAGAGAGATAAACTAAATGATTTTATTGTAAAGAAAGATATTATCTTCATTACAAATTCATACATTAACAATAACTTGGGTTTGTTGTCGTTGTAATAATATAGTTATGATATTACCACCTATTGGAGACTTGCCAACTGCAGGACTACATTCTTACAACTTGTCCACGACGTAGTATGAACATAAAGGTGTCAACTTATGCAACTCATTTTCAAGAGCCTACATTATAGTAACAGTTGCGCTGGAGACCTTGTTTACCGGTGGTATCGAATTAATTTCGGGTTTGTAAATAATATATATGAAGAATACCGCTCGAAATGTAAAAGCTAGTTAATAATTAATTTCTTGATTTAAACGTAGTATTAATGTCTCATGTTTTTTTCATTATAATTGAAAACGAATCGCACCAATTTAAATTTATTACAATTTCAATTTCACATAAGAAATCGATTGTACGTAGAAGCCCGATCAATCACGAAGAGTAAACAATCTTGAGAGCAGATCGCGCGGAACTTATAAATCATTTTTCTTTATTTACGAAGCGCCTAGTGTCTTCGTGGCGATGGAAACAATAAGCTTGTAATGAAAATAAAAAAGTTTCTCGAAGGTCGTAGCTCTTGCTTCTTAGCAACAACGTAGACATTTCGTAGAATAAACTTGTTTGGCTACAAAAGTCGTCCATCATTTCACTGACATGTTTTAAAAACAATATGGGACAAGTTGACAGTTTTACATATTTAGAATAGATAGTCGTTAGTCTTACAGTGTAATTAAATTAGTATACTGTACATTGTAATCAGTAAATTCATTAGTAGCTGGAAACTAAGAGAAAAAACATTGATTTGATCATTATAAAATCTACAATAATAATACGAAAATTATCGGTTTAAGAATATTGTCTTTTATTGTAAATTGTATACGATTGTAAGATTATTGTTTAAGAGCTATTAGTACAAAGTATTTACACAGAGTGGAAACCCTGTGAGGGATCGATAGCAATGTACATAGAATATGCAATGCGAGCCTCTTAGCGCCGGCAAGTGTCCCGAGCAATACAAATGGAAGACGTAACGGACACAAGTATTCGCAATTTGCAAAGATTACGCTGCCCTCTAGCGGTAAGGAACTCGTTCAAAATTGTAATAAAACAAGATTCTTTCAAATAATGCACATCATTTGTTATTGCTACTGTTCAAAATATTGTGTCTGTTTTTTAAAAGAGTGTGAAGGGGATTTTTAAGCAGGTGTAGACACGTTACTGAGTCTACCGATACATTAATTGAGACTTCTTATAACAGAGTCATTTAAAATTCAAAAGCATTCCACCCTTGTAAAATCTATTAAAATTCGTTGTTGAATAACAATGATGTCTATCGATTAGTTTTAGAATAACAATCAGATACGCCTTAAGTGCTGAACTACGTAACTTTCTTACGGCTCCCTTGATAGTTGCCATTTTACATAAAACATGGTTCAATTACAATTTAATGTTTTAAACTTATTTAATGGATTAACTAGGCATACTCAAGAGAGGTTTATCGAACACTTTTATTAAAGTTATTGATTCTAAATAACAATCATTTTACACGAACCTTGCAAAGATGTGTTCCCAAATGTTTTACATAATCTAATATATTATATCTTTGATTCAATTAATGTTATTCTACCAAATAGTTATCCTTAAAGTTGTGCTTAAAAACATATAATTATTTATTTGTCAAATATCGATATTAGGGTACATTTCGAGCTCGGTACAACACTGCCGCGAAAAGTTTTTAGATAAAAATTTAAATTGCCCCGCGCGTGAGCCCCAGAGATCTGATATCAGCAAATAAAGTTAGCGGATTATCATATCGCTTCTACACTCAAAATGGATTTCGAATGTGAAAAGTAAATGGAAATTCCTTGGTGTTCGGTAACATGAGCAATACAATATTAGTAATGCTGATGTATATGTTGTAGTGAGGATAAGTTTATTTAATTTGTATACAGATTCTGTTGTATGTATAAACTCCATTGTAAACTATTCAGGTGCTACAACAGAAGTTTTGATGTAACAGTTTGCACAGCAATGGGCAAGCAGCGCGATGGAAAGCGCGGCGGAGAGCCTGGCAGGACCTTAGCTTACGCAAATAGCGGAATGTGTCTCGCGGGCGGTTGTGCGGGGGCGCGGGGCCGCGGGGACATATTGTGGAACCATGCAGTTGCGAATCAACAAAAGATATTTTACCATTAATAGTTCATTTAGTGTTAGTTTTTAAGTAATTTGCTTTGTATACTTTTTAAAATCAATCATATCAGTACATCATTTTATCCTATTGGAGAACGCGATTATTATTATAGTTATTATTTTTATTTAATACTAACGTAAATATTTCTTTAAGAAAAGTGGTTTTATTTAATTACTTGCAATATTTCTGTATAAATTTTATCCAATTGTTATATTTATGAGAAAATTGTAAGACATAAAAGTAAAATTAATATGCCGCATCCATAATCGCTAGGCAATGTACATGAATGTGCGCCTATGAAATTGGAATCGATAGAATGTTGAGTATGTGGGCAATGAAAGCGGCTGTAATATTGGCTAAATTAACCGCGTTGGGAATCTACGAGCATTGCAGTCGCCTCCTTACTTATTGTATTCTCCGACCGGCGAGAATTGTATTGCGAAGAGCGGCCATGTCACCGGAAAATTGTACGGCGCCAGTTTGCAATTTGCCCCGGTGAATAGTAAACACGCGGCAAATTGCGTACAGAACAAAATTTCAAGAATCAACGAACTATATTTTTCGACACTTTGTAAACGTTACATTTAATCTCCAATAAAATATAAAAAAAGACGCAATAAAACGTTTTAATTTCGCGATTTGACAAGGCAAATTACAAATGCTCGCCTTATACAATTTGCCGGTGACAGATGACACAATTTTACTAAATACCAAACTCAATAACGACCTGTATTCATGAAGTTAAAATATTATAAATAATTAATAAGACTCAGTCCAGACAATAATCTTTTACTTTAGTAGCTCTATGAGATGCTTCTTCTATACGTTAATCGTTTGTAATAAATGATTACAAAATCTATCGGATATTGGATTCAGCAGAAAGCAAAGGATTGGAACAAATTCTGTTCTGTTCTTCCGTTTGTGATAATTAATTTATACGATGTTTAACTTTATAATATAATATATTCTCTCTTATCAGATGACCGCATCAGTTGTATCAAAATCAATCTTTTGTTTATCTCTTTGTTAATAAGAGTGAGCGAGATGAATGGTACTTTGTATACAGGTGTAGCGTCGCGTTATTACCCGTGGTCATCCATCACTCAGCGCCGCGTCACTCTGCGTCACCTCTATATTACTTCCCAATTGTTATAAAAGTCCAAAGCAGCGTTATTGATACCGTATTCAATGTTATTGCTCCTGTCCACCATTAATAAGCGAAAAAGCAGAAGAGAAAAT